GCACATAACAACAACAGCAACATATTCCAAGCAGAATAGCTGGATCATAGAGAATTTCTGTGTTCAGCTTTTTGAGGAAACACCAAACTGTCTTCCAGAGTGGTTGTATCATTTTACAATCCCACCAACAATGTATGAGAGTTCCTACCTGGCCACATCCTCTCCAACATTTGTTACTTGCTGTCCTGTTAAATTTTGCCATTGCTATTGAAGTCAGCACCACTGTTTGGATTACTAGGGCTGTATAGTATGCTTTGAGATCAGGAAGTGTGATACCTCCTACTTTATTTTTCTTCTTCAGTAGAATTTTACTCCATCTGTAACATGAAAATAAACTGCTTTAAGGAACCAGTTCTTTTCCAAATTTTAAGTGCCTTCCAACCTGAGGAGCTCATCTTCTGGCTCTGTAGCCAGCCAGTGTTCCAGCTTTATTCATAGGTTTTTCAAGGTCCTTTTATTTTGGAAGTGTATAGGCAGTCTTGCTTTTCATTCTGTCCACTGTAGTGATACAATTTACAGTGTCACAGCAACATGCAAGCCAACACAGTATGGCAAACTCCCAGACAAATAGTTGGCTATGATTTTTAGCTGAGACTGAGAATGTATTGTGGTCACATTTCCTTTCTTAAACATTTATTTTCTTCATTTTTTATGTTTGTTTGTTTGTTTGTTTGTAGAGTGTGTGTGTGTATGTGTTCCCATAAGTGGATTGCTATGAGTCTTAGTCAGCATGTTAGCATCTAACAACAGCCCATCTTATGACAGAAAAACAATGAAATAGTAAAACATTATACAACATGAAGGAAACTTGAGGACATTGTGCTTAGTGAAATAGCTCAGTCACAAACGGAAAAATACTGCATAACCCTTTTATTATAAACTAGGACAGACATGGGGGAGGGTTGGGAAGGAAATAAGGAAATAGTGGATAGATAACACTGAGTAAGAACAGATGAGGGGAAGAACTTTCGGAAAGAAATGTATGATACGCATTATATGTATGAGAACAATCTGGAACAAGGGTGGCATTGAGGGATGAGCTGGCGGTGGAGGAGAGGAAGAAAACATGCAACAATTAATAAAAAGAGAAAAAAGTTATGACAGAAGACTAAACATCTTAATTATGCTAAACATTTCCCGGTTAATTTCTTTCTTAGACCCTTCTCTCTGTACTCTATTGCTCTGGGTAATTTGCTCTGCAGACCTGCCACATTGTTAATAACTATTTCCCTTTCCCATTCTCTTGAGAATTCTTTTTCATTACTTCTACTTTGGATCATTTTTCCTTTCGAGGAGGGTGGGAATTGTACTCCTTCATTCCATTTTACTGAAGCATATTCTCATACAGCTTTTTAAATAAGGATCAATAGGGCAAAATCTTTTTGATTCCTTTTTTTAACTGAAGACTGTTATCTTATAAATTTTGGCAAACCATTTGTTAGCAGTGATCTCTCAGTTTGCTGTACTGAAGTAACTTGGAGTTGCTGTGATGGTGAATGCTGTGCCACTGGTGTCAAATGCCATAATGGTTACCCGTTGTAGACAGTGTTTTGTGGGGTTCCCAGTATGATTCAGGTTTGGAAGCAGGAGTGGCATTCACTTCCTAAACTGCATGCCTCTGGAAACTCTATGAACATAAAGAAACGACGATAGTTATAGTACAGGGTTCAGGTCTTTTGTTCCTAGAGTCACTATGAGTTCTCAACTCGATGGCACTTAATAACAACAACAACAACATAGGGATGAAGTTTTTTGAGACATTTTTATGTCTCCAAATAATATCTTTACTATACATTTATTTCATTATTTGACTGACTATAGAATTTTAGGTAGGAAATCATTTTCTTATGGTTTTAAGGGATTGCTCATTCTCTGCTAATACATTAGTATTCTACCAAAATCATGACTTACCTTCAGCTTCCTAGATTTTGGAGTATGTGACCTTTTACTCTTCTTAGGAAAGAAAGTCTAATTGCATAGTTCATAGGGAGTTGTGCTGCTAACCCAAAAGCCATGCCCTCTGGGGGTTCAACTTCATCAGCAACTCAGAGAGAAAGATGGGCAGTCTCCTCTCTTGCACGTTTTAGCCTCAGAAGCCCAGTGGAAGGTTGAATGGAGTGAGTTTAAGGTTTAGGATTGTGTTGTTTGGGTTTGTTGTTTATTTTTTCATTAGTAGAAATTTGTAATTTTTCTTCGTCATGTTGACCAACAATGAAATAGTAAAACATTACACAACATAGGAGGTTTGGGGGGCCTTGAAGACATTTTGCTAATTGAACTATCTCAGTCTCAAAAGGACAAATATTGTATAATATTGCTGATGCTCTCTTTTGCTGTCTTTATAGAACTCTTATTTCAGACCTTCTGGATTAAGATCTTTAATTTTCTCAAAATTTTTCCATCTCATGTTTGTTTTCTAATTTTTAACTTTCTGGGAAACTTTCTCAATTTTTTCCTTCCAACTTGACTTTTCAGTTTGGTTTTCCAGAAGTCTTTGTTTTCTTGTTTGTTCTTTCTTTAAGGAATCAGAATCCTGTTAGTGTAGTGGATTACTTATTGGGCTACCCACTGAAAGGTCAGTAGTTTGGATCCAGTAGCCACCCTGAGGGAAAGAGATGGGCAGTCTGCTCACATTTTGACTCCCATCTCAGAAACCTGATGGAGAGTCGCCTGAGTCAGAGTTGACTTGAAAGCAAGTAGGTTTGATCCTGCTTTAGTTCTTTATCACTTTCTGCTCTTGTTTATATATGTCGTGTTTTTTTCAAGTTAAATGATGATAAGTTTTCACATAAATATACCTTTTTCTCTTTCTTGTGCTTTTATTTTACCTCATAGGTAAATAGCTCATGTTCAGGTTTTTCTCAAATACAAGATTGCCCTTTTTTGTCAGTTCTTATTTAAAAGAAAAGACATGGAGAGCAGCTGGAACATCTGTATGTGTAAAAGGTGCTTGCTTGCTGGTGGACTTCTCTGTACATGTTAAGCATAGGCAAGGCTTTGCAGCTGAGGAACTCTTACGTGTCAGAATTGGTGGATCTTGTCTTCCCATGATCAGTTTCCCCAAAATAAGAATCCTCCCACCTATTAACAAGTTGGAGTACAAATGTAAGATTGGCTGCTGGGTTCTGGGACTTTGCTTCTACTGGAAGGGCATTGGAGGGAGTCTTACGTATCATACAGACTTGATTTACTTCCTTGTCCTCATGCTCCTACCCTGTACTCTGATCTGTGTGTCCTTTGTCCCGGAATACAGAATCCTCTGGTTCAACCTTTCCAGAAGACAGGTTTCCTACTAGAATGAGGAGGGTGTTTAGAGTCCTGCATCCATTACACACTTGCAATTAATTTGTCTATTTTAGAACAACTGCCCTATTCACTGAGAAGCCCTGGTGATGCTGTGGTTCAAGTATTCATCTATAATCAAAAGGCAACCCATTTGTACCCACCAGTCCATTGTATAAAGAGATGTAGCATCATCATCTGCAAAGATTACAGCCTTGGGAACCCTTTAGGACAGTTCTGCTAAAAGTCAAAATTGACTTAACAGCAGTAAGTCTCCTTCTGGTGACTGGATTGGAATTCTTGTTTGAAGTGTATTTATTTAGAGCAGCCTTACAATTCTCAAGGTATAAAGCAAGAAATCTTTCACCCCATTGTCTGGCTAAGTGTATTATGCTGAGAAGGGAATGGTCTCCACTTTTTGTTATATGCTTTGAATAGTTTGTCTTTTTTTAATTTAGTTAAAAGAAGTCCTTGTGTCTTAAGAATTCTCATATTATTGTTGTCATGTGCCATTGAGTCACCTGTGATCTATAGTGACCCTATGTACAACAGCCCTAAACCCTGCTCTATCCTATGCCAATGTCACTATCTCCGACACACCTACCCCCACAACCCCAGTCACTGAATCAACTCATCTCATCTAGGGTCTTCCTCTCCTGTGTTGCCCCTCCACCCTCCCAAGCATGACGTCCTTACTGGTCCCTCCTTGCAACTTGCTTGCCTCCAAGGAGCAGTCTGGTCTCACCCTTTCCAGGACAAACCTTTTGATTCCCTTAGCAGTCCATGGTAAAAGGCATCAATTCTCCTATCATCCCTAGTCAGTGTCCAGCTCTCTGATGCATAGCAAATGATTGCAAAGACCATGGCCTGTATCAGGTACACCTTAGTCTCCAGACTGACATCCTCATGACCCTATATTTTCTTTTTCTTGCCTGAAGAAATGTATAACACTGAGAATGGATTTCTTCCATATTAACTGTCTCAAGTTCAATCTCATCTCAATAATAGTGGAATTCTGGTGACTGAGTGGTAAGGAACTGCACTGTCAACCCAGAGATGAGTATTGAGAATCTACTAGCTGTTCCTCAGAGAAAGAACTCCTGTAATGTAATTTACAGACTCTGAAAACTCACTGGAGGGTCAGCTATGGGTTGGTTCCGGCATCACAGCACCTCACAACAATATTAATAAAGTTTGGAGTTAACATTTTTTTTTACTGGCTTTTTTCCTCTCCATTTACTTTTCTCAATAATGGGAACCTAGTTTTTATCATGTCCTTTCTAGACTCCAAATCGTACCTGCTCTTAGGAAATATAATATCCATTTAAAATGTAATTTAGTTTTCAGAATGCTGTTTAGCTGTAATTTATTTGTACTGTTTTCAAATAGTAGAAGGTTTTCTTAAGTGGTGGTGGTGGTTCTGTACCATCAAGCTGGAACTGACTCATAACTGACCCTCTGGTGGTTCTCAGGTTGGTAGAATATAAAAAAGAAAATTGAGTTTGACATTACTTTTTAGGATTTCTGAAATCATTCCTTTGTAAGCACTAGCACAACAGTCTTATGTTTTTGCATATGATTATTTTTTAATAGTCTTGGTAACTGGTACTTAGCATCTTTGCACCATTAAAATTGTAACTCATCTATGACTGTAGTCAGATTATCTTTTCTGCTTGCCTCACAAGTGTTGGTTGTTCTTGACTCTCTTGCTTTCTCAGGAAGCTGCTTCCAAGCTTAAAGACGAAGAAGCCTCGAGAACTCGTGCTCGTGATAGGGACAGGTATCAGTGCTGCAGTTGCCCCTCAGGTTCCAGCCCTGAAATCCTGGAAGGGCTTAATCCAGGCCCTACTTGATGCTGCCATTGATTTTGATCTGCTAGAAGATGAGGAGAGCAAAAAGTTTCAGAAGTGTCTCCATGAAGACAAGAACCTTGTCCATGTTGCCCATGACCTCATCCAGAAACTCTCTCCTGTGAGTAACCCCTGTTTATACATGATGATTGAAATGTCTTAAAATCATGACTAACATGCTATATAAAAAAGAGGAATAATTCTGTGCAATTGAAACACATTTGATTATTCTACAATAGCACTGTATAGAACCTATTGGGCCCCTACTTAGAACACTATTTCACTTTGGAAATCTGGGGAAGGGGCAAGAGAGGGAGAATTACTTTTGTTGCTGATTTATATTGAATTGTGTTCCCAAAAAAATGGAAGCTATGTGATGCTCCCTTATGATCTGATACCCCAGATAGCTGTGAAAATGTTAAGGATGGACGACAGCACCCCTTAATCTCATCACAGCCCTAATCTAATGTGAGGGAAGTTCTGCTAGAGTATGGCCTGTGCATTTGACAAGAGATAAAAGAGGAGAGTGAGAATAGTCACCAGGAATGGAGTGCATTTTTAGCTCCTAAACCTTATAAAAGGAGCCATAATTGGAAAGATGGAGGTGCAGCAGAAGAGAAGAGGACCCTCAGGGAGGTGGCTTGACACAGTGACTATAACAATGGGCTCAAGTGTGTTAGAGATGATGAGGATGGAGCCAGCTAGGACAGAATTCAGAACCATTGTATATAAGGTCTCTATGAGGCATGGTCAACTCAATATCCTCTAAAACAACAACTAATGTAAGAGAGTACATTTCTCTTGTTAATGCCATCCAATTGTGGCAGCTGGTATAGCAGTGTTAAATAACGAAGACAATCAGTGGTAATTGATTTACATTTCCTTTTTTTTTTTTTTTTTCAATTATTTAAGACCTTTTTTAACAGGTGCTTGCAGTTTTGTTGACTTTTTTTTTTAAAAATCAAGTTGTAACCTTTTATTACAAATTAAAAATAAGGTTCTTAAAAATCTCAACTTGACCATATATGAAACAATTTAAAAACCTTTAAAGGTGTATTGAGAAAAACCAGGCTTTTTAAAAAAACACGTTTATCATTACCAAAAAGAGACATCTTTAGGTAAAAATAATAAAAACCCCATGCTGCATAGATAATGCAGATAGTTCTAGTTATCTGGTCAACGGGCAGAAAGCAAGCACTTAAGGTCTTCAGCTCCAATCTTTTGTTCATTTCTTATTGCTGGAATTTCATATTCATTTCTTCTTGTTGGATGACTAAACCAGGAGATGGTAAGCCGGCATTTACTCAGCCCCGCCCTGCTAAGCCTCGGGAGCGGACGAATTCTCAGCTGGTGGATCGGCTGCTTTTGTCTCTTTGCCATCTTGTGGTTTAGGGTTTTCTGGGCGTCTGCATCGGTAATTGAAGTTGCGATGGTATTGACGTTGAGGTGGCTGCTGACCTTGGGTCTCATCTTGATTTTCCTTATCTTCTTCATTGCCGCCCTCTCTAGGCTGTCTTTGGCGAGGAGGGCCCCTGCGAAATCGTGGTCTAAAACCCCTATACATATTCTGCCTCACTGGTCTACCTTGTTCTCCTGCACCCTGGTTGTCAGCACCCTCCATCACTTCTCCCTGCACAGGAGGGTTGGAATACTGTGGTCGACGCCCATAGGGTCTCCGCATGTTGTAAGGTGGGAACCGTCGCCTGCGGTAGGGCCGGCGTTGTTGGGCCTGGCCTTCGGGAGCACTCTCCGATCCCTCGTTCTTCTCCCCACTCTCACTATTCTGGTAATTCTGCTGGTAATTACGTGGAGGACCCCTACGACGTGGATAATGTCTATAATGGTTACGGTCTGCTGCATATTTACTGCCTTGCACTGGAACGCCACCAGGACCTGTAACATTTGCTGCCTCCGCACCCTTTTCTCCTTCAACAACATCTAACTCTGCAGTCTCTCCATCTCCTACACTGCGAAGGTACTTCCTGGGGTTTATTCTTCTTTATGGCAGTCTGGTGTACCAATACATCTTCCTTAGTGTTATTCCTGTTGATGAAACCATATCTGTTCCTTACATTGAACCATTTTACTGTTCCCAAAACCTTTGTTGCGATGACCTTCTTGTCCCCGCTGGCAGGCGCCGCCGATGTGAGGTCGCCCGGGCCGCTGCTCCCTGCGCCGCTGCCCGTGGTGCCGGGCTTGGTGTCGGCAGCGCTGAGGGTGGGGGCAGCGGGCGGCTGCTGGGTCTCGGCCTCGCTGCTCATGGTTGCGGTGATGGTGACTGGGGCCGGCTGTGGCAGCTGCGGCTCCTCCTGGGGTGTGATGGTAACTAGGCCGGCAGCGGCGGTGGGGCTGCTTAGGGGTCCGCTCTCCGCTCCCGCTACCGATCCGATTTACATTTACTTTTGACTTTCACTATTGATTTCTTTTTCTTCCAGGCCTTAGGGTTGTAGAAAAGTGCTGTCCTTAAGGGTGAGCTAGTTGTTATTTCATGCCTTTAACTTATGTTATTATGTTGCCTGCAACTCATAGCAACCCTAGGTATAACAACTCTGAAGCCTGCCCCATCTTGAGCCTATCTCTCTGACTCCAACATACCCTCATTACCCCGCTTACTATGTCAATCCATCTCATCTAGGATCTTCCTCTTTTGCACTTTCCCTCCCTCCACTCTTCCAAGCATGATGTATGTCCTTCTCCAAGGACTGGTCCCTCCTGGGCACATGCCCAGTGTATCTATCAGACAGAGCTTTAAAATTCCTATCTCCAAGGAGAAACTTCACTTCTCCCTCTCCAAGACATACATGTTTGTTCTCTTGGCAGTCCAGCACCACAACTCAGTGGCATCTGTTCTTCTTCTGTTACCCTTAGTCATTTTCCAGGTTTCTGATGCATAGCAAGTAATTGTGAGGACCATGGCCTAGACCAGGCACACCTTAGACTCCAGACTGACATTATTGTTTCTCAGGATCCTGGAAAGTTTCCTGACCATAGATCTTCCAAGTGCAACTTGTCTTTTGATGTCCTGACTGCTGATGCCAAGAATGTTGAGTGTGGAGATGAATAAGGTGAAATTATTAACAACCTCACTCTCTTCTCCATCTATCATGGTGCTGCCAATTGGCCCAGTGGTGAGAATCTTTGTTTTCTTGATGTTGAGCTTCAATCCATATTGAAGACTACAGTCCTTGACCTTCTGCAGCGAGCAGTTCAGGTCCTCCTCAGTTTCAGCAAGCAGCATTGTGTCATCTACATAACACAGGTTGTTGATGAGTCTTCCTCCATTCCTGATGCCACACTCCTCCTCATATAGCCCAGCCTCCCAGATAATCTGTTCCACATACAAATTGAAAAGGTAGATTGAAAGCCTGAGCTAGAGAAAAGAATATTTAAGTCATTCACTCTGTTTCTTAGCCAGTTGCAGAAATGTATATAGTTTATTTCCACATTTCCTTGCCTTTACTTTGGTTTTGGTTTTGAGGTTTTTACACTAATGCACTGCTGGAGGGATTGTAAAATGATGCAGTTCGATGTTTATATTTTCCTATCTTTTATTGGGATACTAACCCAGAATATGTCAAGAATTGTTAGGTTTAAAAGCATTTGTGGGGCAATCCCCCAACTCTGACCATATATAAAAATTAACTCAAAGTGTTTCCAAGATCTAAATATAATATTTAAAACTATACAACTCTAAGAAGAAAATACAGGCATAAACATTCATAACCTGAGGTTCTGCTTAGAATATACTAACAGCATGATCATTTAAAGAAAAATTAGGTAAAATTGGACTTCATCACAATTAAAAACTTTTATGATTCATCAAGAAAGTAAAATGACTACCTAAGAAGTGGAAAGCTTTTGCAAATCACATATTTTATAATGCACTGATATAAAGAATAGCTAGAAACACGGGGAGCTCTGGTGGCCTAGTGACAAGAAGCTGCAACTACAATCCCAGAGGTGCATGGTTCGACTCCACCAGATGCTCTGCTGGGGAAGGAGGGGCAATCTCCTCCTGTACCAGTCAGATCTGATTTGACGGTGCACGCACACAAAAATAATAAAATTTAAAAAAAAAAGAAGAAGAATAGCTAGAAACATCTATCACTCAGCATTTCTCAAACTAAAAAAAACCTGAAAAACAAATTCAAGCCTCAATTTGTAATAGTGAGAGATGCTATGAGCAAAATCTAGAATGAGCATTAAAAGAAGATGGAAGAAATAGACGGAGTCACTGTATCAAAAAGATTTGGTTGACACTGAAGAATTTCAAGAAGTACCACTATATCAACAAGAACCAATGGCATTAATAAAGAAGTTGAAGCTCCCGCCCTCTGCCTCACCCCCAGCCATGGGGACCTTCAACTTGTGGACAGACTACCTGGGCTTGGCAAGCCTGGTGGGGGCTCTGCGTGAGGAAGAGGAGGAGCCCAAGACCAGGCTGAGCACCCAGCCAGAGCCGGGGCCAGATCCCTTGGATCCGAGACCCAGCCCGGAACCCTCGCTGACTCCTGAACACCTGTGTTCCTTCTGCAAACACAACGGCGAGTCCCGGGCTATCTACCAGTCCCACATGCTCAAGGACGAGGCCGGCCACGTGCTGTGCCCCATCCTGCGAGATTATGTGTGCCCACAGTGTGGTGCCACCCGGGAGCGTGCCCACACCCGCCGCTTCTGCCCGCTCACTAGCCAGCGCTACACCTCTGTCTACAGCTACACCACCTGCAACTCGGCTGGCAAGAAGCTCACCCCGCCGGACAAGCCGAGGACTCAAGGCACCGCCGAGGAGGTTCCAAAGGTGCCAGGAAGTCTTCAGGATCCTCGCCTTCTTCCTATAGTCCCTCCACTTCTGCCTAGGAGGCTGGCACAAGGAGAACCGCGGAGCCCTGCTTTCATCAAGGGAATGGGGACCCAGGCTGGATTGGAGGGAAGGTCGGGGTTGAGGCCACAGGGGCTGTTGGGGAGCAAAGTCTGACAGCGTAGTTGAAACAGCTCCTGTGGGGAAGGGGAAGGGTCATCAGTACCTTCCTACCCACCCACCAAACTGCCAGCCCCAGCTTGTTCTGTTCACACATTTGTGTTCAAGAAATGCCTTATCAACAGAAAAGAAAAAAAAAAGAA